TTCATATTATATAGAATGACATAGGTACCCGGGGACTTGTGTGGCCTTATGGCTTCTTTGCTTTTTCCAAATAAACATTTTGTTTTGGTAAATCAATAATTAATAATAATTCTAGAACTGAAAGTAGGATGTCAATGCGGCGGCGGCGCCGAAGACTCGGTATCTACTATCTTGCCGGTAGATGGCACCATTAGGAGTTTCCATTAAAATCACCAACATGCACCCGTGGAAATTCTGGTAAAGTTTACTGGAAATCTCATTAAAAGTAAAATGTTTGAATTCTGCGGCATTTCATCTACTCACGGACTGGTCAAATGCTGGAAACAAACGTTTATCGGCCGTCAGTCCCTGTCGAATGACACAAGGTCATGGGGGAGTTCACTCGACGGGTCGACCGCACCTATCAGAGCATAAGTACTGATAATTGCCGGCAATCGTCCAACTCCGGTTCCCTTTCAATACGAATAAATCTTTCGCCTTTTACTAAAGATTTCCGTGGAGGGGAGCACTCAAAGGAGTCTAGATGAATAATTTTTCTAATGCCCGACTCTCGAGTTGGGCTCAAAATACTTTAAAAATAATCAATTTACTGAATTACATCGATACTTGTGTTCAATACGTCATAGCATTACTGGCCAGTGCAGTGATTGTCCGTCGATTAATGCTTACAGCATGACACATTCCAGCCTTTCTGGGGTACTTGGATAATCCCACCACAACCGCGGTATGTATAACCATGTTTAGGAAAATGATCCAAAAAATCGACGAAATGGTGGTGCTCGTTCTGGCCAACCTCTCGTTAATTAACAATGAATTCCCAATAACAACGTACGACAATAACGTGTCCGAAACGTTAGAAGAATTCAAGAGGTTCTACAGCACCTTGTTTTTCGATGATACGTCACGCGACAAAACTTACCACGACTTAATAATCAATTCTACCGAAAATAATATGGACACCGCTTTACATAGCCTTGGGTACGTTCTATAATAACTTTTGCAGACCGAATGAAGATGGTAAAATTGCCGGAATTGTGCGATACATCGAGGAAATGCTTGTAGAACATCTGCCTCTCGACGTAATGGCAAAAATTAAAGATGAGATAGATTCTACCGTCGACTCGTGCTTAAGAGATCTCATGAAAATTTAATCAAATTCATACTATAAAAGGAATTATCAGTCTAGAATAATTGAAAATCCAGCCAACATAGAACTCGAAACACCTCATCCACAGCCGCAACAGTTATTCGCATAATTATAATAGTCAATTGTCAAATACACTTTTATAAAATAACAAAATCTGTACAGCTATAAAATTCCATTTTATAATTATTAACTGACTATTACAATTCCAAATATATGTTTAAAAAAAAACTTCAAATTTTAGTTATTTATGATAGAATAATATTTTGTATTGGTCAATTTTGATTTGTTTAATAATACATTGAACAAATACATTAAGGTCGTAGCATATAAAGGTGAGGAAAACTCACAGATCTATATAAACGGTTACAACAAAAAGTGGTTAAATTACTTTCCAATTAACACTTTGATGCAAATCGGTGGATAGTAGCTTAAAACCAATCTAGTATAAAACAAGCACAATAAGAAAGTATTATACGTAAGTGAGTAGTTGTAATAAATATGGTATAGTAAGTATAAAGTATGGTTTGGTAAGTTTGGAAATAAAATAATAAATATCAATAATAACAATTATTATTCGGAAAATTGTATACGTCATAGTTTAATTCAAGATCTACCTTTTGCTAATTTTCAGACTAAAATCCCTAAAACTTGTAAAAGTGAAATAAAGAAAAAAATACCATCTATTTTACGGGAAAGAGAATGTGATATTGTACTATGTCTTAAGAATATTCTATACTTCATTGTAACTAATTTGACTATTTTTAATAAAGTTATGAAGCGCTGTAAATCTAAGTTGAAAAATATGTAAATCTTTTTGGGATTTTCCTCTATTTTGAAGGGGAAGGGTTGACTTTTTAAAATATTTAGGCTTTCAGATGCGATTTCTGATTTATAGAGTTGCTACCCGAAGAAATCGGTTCAGTGGTTTAAAACATATTTAGGTTCCAGACAAAAAAAAAAAGGAAAATCAAAACACAATTACACAATTACAATTCTCGGCTAATACATAAACTATTTTTTAGTTTTTAAAAAGTTTTTTTTTTTTTGCTTAACTTAGTGTTTGAACTAAAGAAGAAAGGGGAGAGGAGAGGAGATAAAACCTAAAGAACCACGCGAATATTCGTGGTTGACGCCATCAGTATAATAAAAAATAAAATAAAAAAAATTGTTTTAGAAATTAAAGAATACTCCCTGCTCGATCACATCGCATAAGACAAACAACAAGTCGTTTTTCGATTTATATTAAAAGTTCCCGTTTGACAGTGTACAATTTTAATAATATATATTTTATCATATAACATTTTGTTTTTCTTTGAAATCATTATTAAATCGACAATTGTATATATATATATATATATATAATATTATAAATATCTGATTATTATTATTATTATTTATGAATTAATTAAGATAGGAGTTCCAAAAAAATACAACATCTACAATGCGTACAAATCCAACAGTAGTATTTCTGTTTCTAAGTATTTATCAACCTATGGCTTATTTAATAAACCATTGCATTTTCGCAATAACAAGGTATATTGGTGCAAACCTAAAAAACGAAATGCGAATAATTTGAAAAACTGAAAACGCCTTAAAGATATTTTTATCGAATACACAAGTAACAAAAAACCGTGTTGTGTATACCCTACATTTTTTTTTGGCGTTGTACAAATATCTAAAAATTTAATACTTCTCAGCAGCTGAAAAAATTATACTAGGTGTTACTGACTTTAGCTTAAAATTATAAGTTTGTTTCGAAAAAATTGTCAACTTCTGATTTATTATAGTCTTTGTATTTTTATTATGAAAATTTATATCAATAACGTTACACACGAAAACCAAACAAAATTGAATTGCGCGACTTTTTTAATTGTTATTTCTATTTAATTAAAAATGCCTTTCGAGTCTATAATAAAACGAAGGAATAAATATTTTATATTTGAAATTAATTTGTTAAAGTCGAACTTTTAGTAAAAATAAAATATTATAACAAGAACAAACATAATAGATATGGAAAATGCAATTCAATGGGTCAATTTGTTTTCCTCGATATCAAATACAAATTGGATTGTCAGTTTTGAATTCACTGAATCACTGAATTTTGTGGAGAACAAAGTGTTCGATTTGATGTAATTTAAAATTTAATAGAAAACGGTTGTTTTTTTTTAAGATCTTATATTTTAAAATAATATTAAACAAATAATCTTTAAATATATCAATATATATTTTACATTTCAAAAAATCTGTACCAAAGTGGCCCTTTGGATAGAAGATCTAGACGATTTTATAAGATTCTATGTTAATTAATATCAAATAACTGTTAATTTTAAAATCTCCTTTCGGCTTGAGAATTTGATTGTAGTTATACGTATAAAAATACACACACGTGTATCCTATAATTATAAGTGGTGACATTTTCCCCTGTAGGCATGTTGAGCTCAATTCCACCATTCTAGATAGAATATTTCCACGCCTTGTACATCATGAAAGGGGAGATAAAAATACAAAAATGTTTAGCATGAGTTTTAGGTCTGTTTTTTTTCAATACTTTTAATTTTTATATAAAAAAAAATATAAAAAGGGCAACCGTTAAACACGACCGAAAATTAGTGAATATAATTATTGCAGTTGACAAAAGTACAGCTATTTCAAGTATGTGTGTTGCGGTTGCTTGTCATCCTAAATTTCCTTTATTTTATACAGTTGCTAAAAAACGTTTGCCAAGTCGGTGTCGGCATATAAACTGATATTTGTTTTTTTAATTTTCTGAGGATTTTTATATATATCTGTTATTATTATTTATAAAATAATAAAAGCAGGAGTAGCTATAAAATACAACATCTATGCGTACAATTCCAATAATAGTATTCCTGTTTCGAAGTATTTATCTACCTATGGCTTATTTAATAAATCTTTGAATTTTCTCAATAACAAGGTTATTACCTTTCTTGGTAGCTTTATTATGAAAAATTATATCAATAAGATGATACACGAAAATAAAACAAAATTGACAATTTTCTACATTTTTTTGTAGTCGGATTGACTTGTTTTTTTAAAACTTAACGTTTGTTAAGAGTTTTCATATTTTTTTACATTGCTACAGTTATTTCAGAAAAACGGATCAACCACTTAAGTACACAAACGACAATCCAAATTATAAAAACCACTTGTTTTTTCTGCAGAGCAATAATATAGTCGTATAGTTGTAAGTAAGTGTCTTAATGATACCAACCGAAATTTGTCATTTATTTACATTGCAACAGACGTTGTGAAATGCACACTACCTTCACCACAATTTTGTGCAGCACATAATATCTCTGTATATAATGTAAGAAATTGTACTGTTACTCTAGTATAGTATTCACCCTCTTTGGTGGTATACTTTAATTTTAATCCGGAATTTTATACTTCATTTAGCATTTTAAAAATACATATTTAAGATACTATTTAAGAATATGAATTTTAAAAGCGTTATTCTGGTTATAACAACCGTGTTATGCATCATCATGTCTATGTCTAAAGGTAGGTACATAAAAAACATTTAAAAACAAATGTAACAATAATGAGGTTATGTTAAAATAAAATGCTTTTCCATAAGAGTAAAATATTTTTATTATGACATCTGATGATTTTTTTAGAAAAATTAATTAAAAACTATATATACTCATTAAGTTATTTGTATATTATACATATCTATTTTTAAGTGTTAATGGAATATTTTAAAATAAAATTGTAACAAAAAAATATATATACTTATATCTAAAAAAGTAAAACATGTAAGTCCAATAAAAATCGCGGTGCTTATAACGCAAATGAGTAAAAATAATTTAAAAAATTTTTTTTTAATTTTTACTAGAACAAAAGTTATGTTATCTGTCTAAACATTGTGGGCCACTCTGTATAATCATTAGCAATATTATATAATTTTGTTTATCCAGTAATAAAATTATTTTACATATATAACTTATACGTGAAACATATATTATTTGGCTATAATAAAACTAAACGCTTTTGGATTGAAATAAAAATATATAATTTATACACAAGGATAAAAAAAAGTATTTAAGTAATTATTTTTTCAATATTTTTTCAGGTGACCCGAGTGTACCTCCTAAACGTAAGTTAATTGATAATATAAGTTTATATGCTTGACAAATTTACTAGCAGTTTTAAAATTATTTTCAATAAAGATTAAAATGTGTATTATAAAATGCTACAATAGTGCCTTGAGTTGTCAAAAATAAAAATACGTTTGCCATGTTCATGAAAATATTGTATAATTGTCCATATCTAGTTATAATATTATTTTAAGAATATTACATATGTGATATGTCTACAATACAATTAAATGGTTTTGGATGAAAATAAATATATGTAATTTAGACACGATGCACTAGGATAAAAAAAAATATCAAAGTAATTTTTTTTTTGATTTTTCAGCTTTGAAACTCCGCCCACGACCAAGACTACCAGAACGACCACTACCAAGACGACCACCACCATCACCACTACCACCACCATCACCACTACCACCACCACCACCACCACTACCACCACCACCACAGTAATACACGTGTAATTCAATATGCAATTTTATCATTTTTTTTTTCAAATGACTGTTAGTTGGTTGATAATATAAGTTTTTGTGCTTTACAAACATACTAGCAGTTTTTTAATTATTTCCAACAATGCTGAAAATGTTTAATAAATTATTATATTTAACATTGTTTTATAACCGATTTACACATAATAGTTTGATATTTTAAAATCACAATTGTTTTGAAATTAAAACAATGGATACTAGTAAACCCTGAGATTTTATTTAGAATGGAAACGCCTTGTACTTAGTAATTTATTAAGGAGCCTATTTTAATTTTAGTTAAAACTCACGTGTAAGATAATTATAACGACATTTATACACAATATTTTAATATATGTATGTATATTTTTTTTAGCTAAAAACTAACGCCCACTAACGACAGTTAAATTTACTAACAAAACTAAAGTATCCAAGATCCGTGTCACATTCTGAAAATTCATATGCTCACTAATTTGTGTATATTGTAAAATGTTCATCTTTGTTTATCATAATTGTGTATCAACTTTCATATTTTTCTAATAACAATGTATTCCAAATAACATATAAAAGATATTATGTCTAAGAAATATACCTATGTACCAATAGAAATAATATTCACCGAATAAGTAAATTTGTATTTAAGTTGGGCTCACGTATTACTTAAAAAAAGTTAGTTCATTAAACTTGAACGGTACCCGTGAACAATACGTCATAGCATTACTGACCAGTGCAGTGACTGTCCGTCGATTAATGCTTACAATATGACACGTTCATGCCTTTCTGGGATACTTGGATATCATATTATAAAGTTTTAATAGCGCCCAGAAATTTGTGCATTTGCAGGTTCTATTGAATGGTCCAAAAAATGGCTATATAGGCTGTGAATTACATTTCAATTTTCAAAAAATCCAAATTCAAAAATAATAGTTTGGCATATTTCAGGTTTTTTTTATATTTTGTAGTTGGATTGACTTGTTTTTCTAAAACTCGATATTTATCATACGAATATCGAAAAATACCTACGAAAAATCCATTTCAAAAGAATATACATATATTAAAACAACTATGTACACAGCCCTAGAACGTTGCGCCAGTTTATTTAGTGAAAATTGTCAATTTATGAAATATTGTTTTTAGCTTCGATGCAAAGCGAAAAGGTATTGGTTTTTCTCTGATGTGTGTTTTTTTTATCTGTATACACTGTAACTTTTTTAATACTGGACCAATTCCTTTGAGTAGTAACTCTATAAATCACAAATTTCGTCTAGTTGGTACTTGGGGGGGGGGGGGGGTAAAAGTTGAATAAGTTTACTTCTTCACAGTCGAAATTTGAAAAAACAAAAAAAACCGTATGAGTTTACAAGTTAGAACTTTAACTGGCTATAATTTCGAGATATACAAACACGGTGTACCAGAGAAACGAACAAACTTTAAAACTGTCGGTTGGTAACGTCTACCCATGTTACCATTTTATTCAATTTTATCACTTTTATTTATATTAATTTCTGTAGACCTGTGACCTCTCCGTTCCCTCGTTGCTTTGATTCCGCTGTACCCTACTGTACTAGTCCTCTTGTATAAAATCACTTTCAAATTAACGCTTTGATGCTTATTTGTAAATACAGAACCTCAATTTAATAATTTCTAATTTTGCTGATTTATACTGTGCTTGGTTTGGACTGTACTGGCTTGAAAATACTAACTACCGATTTGCATCGAAGCGTTTTTTCGAAAGTGATTATATCACTTTCAGATTTAAAAAATTCCTGTAAACCTATGACCTCCCCGTCCTCACTATGCCCCGACCCCGCTGTACTGGTTTATTTTAACTTTATGTTAGTATAATATGAGTACATACAAAAACTAAAAAATACAATTCGATAAATTCGTACAATGTTTTGTCATTTATATAAACTATCAGATTATGATGTATGATTATTTTGGCCATGGTCGTAAAAAGTATATATAGTTTTTTTCTTGTCACTTTTTTTTTATAGTATCATCAACCTTGAAAGGTCTAAGTTTATCTATAGACGGGAATAAGGTAGTAGACTTAATTATTTCCTCTGCATCAGGAAAGGTACTTTAGTTTTCATACATTAAGTTTTTAAACTTTGCCAAATAAATATAATGGGTAAAAAGAGTTAATGGTATTTTCTGGGTTCAGGACATAATAAAAGACAAAATTAAATACTTTGAGTTTGAGCTTGGGAAAACAAATTTATTAAGAACATGTTGAAGTTAATTTAGGTCTTTTGTATATAAACACAAGCTGTTGTCTAGAAACATTTTACAATTTTTTTATAGACATAAGTCTATAACATAACTTTGATTTGATTTTAATTGAATTTTATTTTATAATATCAAACTCAGCTGAGCCTAAGTCATCAGAACGTTACACATATCTGTTTTTTTTTTCAAACCTATGTATTTGTACTTGAGTATCCTACATTTAAAAATTCATCTATAATTAATGTAAAATCAGGGTTCTAAAATGCAAGAAAATAAATAGTTTTAACATTTACTATAGTTATGTGACTAAAGCCTAAAGGTGTAAAGTAGCATACAATGTATTAGTATTTAGTATGTTATATATGATAATATTATAGCTAGGTATATAAAAATAATTTTAATGAAAACTTTTTTTCGACCAAAAATCAAACTACAAATTTCTTTTTGTAAAAAAAAATTCATTTTAACCACCAATTACTTTTGTGTTTTTTTATTTCAAGTTCATAGCAACATCTGAACAAATATTCATATGCAGCGAACCCGATTGACGAGTATCAAAATTAATTTTAACCGATGTCTAGTTTGTACATACCGCATAAAGAATTTAATATCTCTCAATTTTCCTTTGTTCGGCTTTTATTAAATCGTCGGTGTACATTTTTCTACAACGGATATTAGTCAAGTCTGTGTACTTCAAGAGCGTTGTGATCGTCGTTGACGAAAAAATGAAAGCCGGACAACATATTTTTTTAATTTTTTTAACGATTTACACGGCCGCTTTAGTAGCAGCAGAGTCGGTAACGCCGTATCAAGTAAACGCTTTGAATTATGTATTCAATTTACCCGGTTGGAGGAATTTACCGCAACATAGACGTTTCAAGCTAGTCGTGCCGTGGATGAGAGGAAGAACCCGCCGCATTTTGTCCGTCAAAGATATACTAGAAACCGACCGCAATAACGGCCACCCACTAGTCACCGTCAGAAACGCGGGTAATAAAATCCGTCTAGCACATCAGCTTTTCAGCTGTCAGTATGCCAGCACTCTGAAGAAGTGTTACCATTACAATTTGGGCGCAGTGCTCGAGTGTAAGGACATCGGAGATCCCGCCACAACCGCGGTATGTATAACCCGGTTTAGGCAAATGATCAGCGAAATCGACCGGCTCGTGGTGCGCGTTCTGGCCACGCTTTCGTGTATCACCGAAGTGTTCCCAATAACACCGTACGACGAGTATGTGACAGAAACGTTGGAAGATTTCAAGAGGTTCTACAGCACCTTGTTTTTCGATAACGATTCCGGCGACAAAATTTACCACGACTCGATAATCAGTGCTACCGAAAATAATATGAACACCGCCTTGCGACGCTTGGGTAGGTTCTATGATGATTTTTGCAGACCGAATGAAAACCATAAAATTAACGGAATTAGGCTATATATCCGGGGTATGCGTGGAATATTTGAGCCCCTCGACGTAATGCGACAAATTAAAGATCTGATAGATTTTAACGTCAACTCGAGCTTAAGTGAACTCTGGGACTCTGTTGGCTTCGAGTACGATGCGGTAAATGATAAAACCCGTGTTACGTACGTACCGTAACGAATTCCAAGAAAATGTAAACAAATCCATACTATAAAACGAATTATCTGTCTAGAATAATTGAAAAACCAGCCGACATAGAACTCGAAACACCTCATCCACAGCCGCAACAGTTATTTGCGTAATAAAATATTCAAATTGTGAAATACACATTTTATAAAATTACAAAATCTGTACAGCTATTAAATCTTGTTTTATAATTATTAACTGAATATTATAGTTTAAATATACGTTTAAAAAAAAAAACCCACAAATTTCTAGTTATTTATGATAGAATATTATTTCGTATTGGTCAATTTTGATTTGTTTAGTATAAAGATTGTTTCAGCATAAAGCAAGCACAGTAAGAAAGTATTATACGTAAGTGAGTAGTTGTAATGAGTATGGTATAGTAAGTATAAAGTATGGTTTTGGTAAGTTTAGAAATAAAATAATAAACATAAATAATAACAATTATTGAGAAAATTGTACACGTCACAGTTCAATTCTAGATCTACCTTTTGTCTAAAAAGTTATGAAGCGCTGTAAATCTAAGTTGAAAAACATGTAAATTTTTTGGGGGTTTTTCTCGAATTTGAAGGGGAAGGGTTGACTTTTTAAAATGTTTAGCCTTTCAGTTGCGATGTCTGGTTTTTAGAGTTGCTACACGAAGAAATCGGTTCAGCGGTTTAAAAAATATTTCGGTTCCAGACCAAAAAAAAAAAATCAAAACACAAAATGAGAATGTATATTTATGGCTGAAAAAAATATTCCCATAAATGAAATAATTTGAAAATCGGATGTATACTTTTCTTTATAACTGATATATTATTTTGAACTTTGTTTTTTTTTATTGACAATTAGAGTAATATTTTCAACCCGATAATATATAAAATGTAATCAAATAATATAATTTAATATTTTATTACATATTTTATAGGTACTATATATATTGAATTGGTCTACAATGAAGACAAAGTTTAAAAGTTAAAACTTTATTATTCGCTTTAATAATAAATTGTTTTTGTATGTTTTTAATTTTATTTTTGAAATAATATATTTACTGCGGCAATATTGTATTGTTTTAATAAAATAAAAATGCATACAATTGTCTTCGACTTCAAATTGTTACACGTAACATATTTTACAACTTACGTTACCTTTACTTACCATTTGGTTATATTCAAAGTAATTCAATATGGAAGACGGTACATTTATGTATCCACGTCACTAGTTATATGCCGACGTTTCAGACTCTTTGCAGAGTCCATCTTCAGGGCGATAGTGGTCTCGACTGTTCAACTCCGGTTCCCTTTCAATACGAATAAATCTTTCGCCTTTTTGTTCAACTGCCGTGACCATACAGTTTTAACGCATTCATCATTTGTTACAGAATGTTTAACCCACTGCGGATAATCGACCCTCTGGGCTTGGCAGTTGTAGCCCATTACTCATACATCTGCTATGACCATGCCAGTGGGGACGAGGAGGCGTTTGGGCAGAAACAGTAACAACGGCGTATCAAGGAGGAACAGGAGCGGCGTAACAAGGCCAAGGTGTGGAACGAATCGGCTAAGTGAGCAATGGTGAACGAACAGAAGAAGATCTCGGTTAGGTTATAGGTTGAGCCGGATAAATTCTGAAGCTCAATTATTAAATAATTTACTACCTTTTGGAACCAACAACTGCTTACCCAAATTGTTGACTGGTCGATAATCAGTTTTACAAAGCACCTAATTACTACTTACTGTCCATCACAATAGATACATGTAGTTATCGAATTGACTTGAGTTTAAATTAGTTTAAAAAAACCTAACCTTGTTCATTTTATTACCCACGTGCAGATTTCAACAAAATTGGGCAATTTTTTTGTCAATATTTATTAGTTTGTTTTTGTCTAGTCTGATTGAAATTGAAATCCAAATTTTATATATTATCTGTTTGTCACTAGCGTTTTACACCGCTTTATAATAAAAATCCAGCAGAAAATAATACAATTATAGACAACTTGGATCAAGATGCTGTGATCAAAAAACAATACACCTCCACAAGTTTGCGGTTATAATTTTTTACAAATGTGACATGATATATTGCGTTAAATTTTTCGAATTTTTACTTGTGCCAAAATTGAAATTTAACCACAAATAATTTGTTTTAATCCAGAGAACTGCATTGTCTTTATCTACTATCTAGCGAAACCACAGCTAAGACAGCCTCCAGTGAATGTGGCTCCATAACATCTTCGTCTTACAGACTCATATAAAACCTCTAATATGTGTAACTGATATTTAATAAAATATATATTATATTATTATTGGCAAACAACATCGTGATCAATTTTGTATAATATATTCTATATTTATTCGGTTGAGTGCCATCATTTCTTATAGGACAAGCCTAAGACATTTTTCTTGTCTTTGCCTTCCATTGTGATTTGTGATGTTCAAATATACGACACTTAGTTTAGTTTGTTTTGATTTATTTAAATACATGTTTTAATAAGACAAAAATGTTTTAAGTTGCACACAATGAATTAAGTAATAAGAGGCCAGACTTTGGTAAGTTCTAAACCACTTCTATAAAACATACAATGCATGCTAAATATTAATAATATAAATAATATGAATCTTTTCAGTTGAATAGCAATAAGATTATTGTTAACCCGACCTACTTTTTATCAATACAACGAATATTATTTCTCTAAATAATTATCAAATAACCCAAACAAATAATAATATAGGTAAACAAAAGTGATGGTGTGATAATGTTTATAATAAATGACTGTATATTCACTTACAAAGAAGTTATACTTACTAAAGCGAACTGTATAATAACAAACATCAGAATAAATTAACATAATTACAGTGTAATACCAATGTATAGATCTCCAAAAGGTAATGGTAACATATTTTTAGAGCAACTACAAGTAATACAAATTAATAATCTTAACGTAGAAGTGAGTTTGGACACAGGTGTGGAGATAAGTATATTACCGTATAATATGTATGAACAATTTAATCCAAAACTTGTAATAAACAAATGTGATATTAAAAAAGAAACGTTCGGAGACTTTTTAATAAAACCATATTCGGGTACAGTAATTAGGTACGGTTTTTATCGCTTTTTCTACAACAAAGTTAACCATTTCTCCAATTAATGAACTTACAATTCACTCATGTAGCGATGATAATTCGGGAAATAGTTGAAGCAGCGAAGGCAATATTTTTTGTGTTTTTTTTTAATTCAAAAGCTCAAAACCACATCTGAATACATAATGTGTAGCGAACCCGGTGGACGCGTATCGAAAATACGTCTATCATCGTTGTTGTTCATCGCGTGGGTACAGTATTTTCGACGTTTGTACATACCCGTTTTGGTCTAGCCTGTGTACTTCGAGACCGTTGCGATCGTCGTGTATTTGTAAAACATGAAAGCCGGACGTGATATTTTTTTAATTTTTTTAACGATTTCCACGGCCGCTATAGCAGCAGCAGCAGCAGCAGTGCCGGTATCGCCGTATCAAGTAAACGCTTTGAATTATGTATTCAATTTACCCGGTTGGAGGAATTTACCGCAACATAGACGTTTCAACATAGTCGTGCCGTGGATGAGAGGAAGAACCCGCCGCATTTTGACCGTCAAAGATATACTAGAAACCGACCGCAATGGCGGCCACCCACTAGTCACCGTCAGAAACGCGGGTAATAAAATCCGTCAAGCACATCAGCTTTTCAGCTGTCAGTACGCCAGCACTCTGAAAACGTGTTACCGTTACAACATGGCCGCAGTGCTTGAGTGTAAGGACATTGGAGATCCCGCCACGACCGCGGTGTGTATAACCCGGTTTAGGCAAATGATCAGCGAAATCGACCGGCTCGTGGTGCGCGTTCTGGCCACGCTTTCGTGTATCACCGAAGTGTTCCCAATAACACCGTACGACGAGTACGTGTCCGAAACGTTGGAAGATTTCAAGAGGTTCTACAGCACCTTGTTTTTCGATAACGATTCCGGCGACAAAATTTACCACGACTCGATAATCAATGCTACCGAAAATAATATGAACACCGCCTTGCGACGCTTGTGTAGGTTCTATGATGATTTTTGCAGACCGAATGAAGACGATAGAATTAACGGAATTAGGCGATATATACGGGGTATGCATGGAATATTTGAGCCCCTCGACGTAATGCGACAAATTAAAGATCTGATAGATTTTAACGTCAACTCGAGCTTAAGTGAACTCTGGGACTCTGTTGGCTTCGAGTACGATGCGGTAAATGATAAAACCCGTGTTACGTACGTACCGTAACGAATTCCAAGAAAATGTAAACAAATCCATACTATAAAACGAATTATCTGTCTAGAATAATTGAAAAACCAGCCGACATAGAACTCGAAACACCTCATCCACAGCCGCAACAGTTATTCGCGTAATAAAATATTCAAATTGTGAAATACACATTTTAAAAATTACAAAATCTGTACAGCTATTAAATCTCATTTTATAATTATCAACTGAATATTATAGTTTAAATATACGTTTAAAAAAAAAACCCACAAATTTCTAGTTATTTATGATAGAATAGTATTTCGTATTGGTCAATTTTGATTTGTTTAGTATAAAGATTGTTCCAGCATAAAGCAAGCACAGTAAGAAAGTATTATACGTAAGTGAGTAGTTGTAATGAGTATGGTATAGTAAGTATAAAGTATGGTTTTGGTAAGTTTAGAAATAAAATAATAAACATCAATAATAACAATTATTGAGAAAATTGTACACGTCATAGTTCAATTCTAGATCTAACTTTTGTCCAAAAAGTTATGAAGCGCTGTAAATCTAAGTTGAAAAATATGTAAATTTTTTGTGGTTTTTTCTCGTGTTTAAAGGGGAAGGGTTGACTTTTTAAAATGGTTGGCCTTTCAGTTGCGATTTCTGGTTTTTAGAGTTGCTACATGAAGAAATCGGTTCAGCGGTTTAAAAAATACTTAGGTTCCAGACCAAAAAAAAAAAAATCAAAACACAAAATGAGAATGTATATTTTA